GCTTGGGTGGGGGTCAGTGCCCCCAACCCCGGTGTTGTTCAAGGGTCAACTGCATCACCATTTAAAGAAGAATCAACAGAAACTCAGCCGAGAAAAGCAACACTTTGCGGGGCACACGGCTAGAAAGCGGGGTAGTGGAAACTTCAGCCCAGTGAGGGCCCCGTGATGCCGGGATGGACCACAAAGTTTTATCGTGGTTCCCTGATAAAACCTTCCAGAAAAATGGCTCTTTCCCGGCAAGCAGGCCGGCAGGGTCATGTGGCCGGTTTCCCTGGTTGGAGAAAGGTCACGGGCCCGAAAGCTCAGGGTCACTGGGACTACATTGGTAACTGAACCCACGCAGGTGAAGGAAGGGGCAGAAGCTTCTGGAGGTTTTCCGCCTGAGCCACACGCGGCACAGACGACTCAGCCCGCTGGTCAGTGTGAACACGGGGGGTTAACAGGTACCCCGTTCACCAGCACAGCCAGAACACTCGTCTGCACTACAAACTCCCAGCAAACCAGCTCAGACTCCGTGGTGTCGAAATGGGAGGGACAGACCACACACAGTTCGGAGGGGAACTGGGCGGAGGCGCTGCACTTCCTGCAGCGGGTGGAAGTCGGGTGGGTCCCAGGCTCTCGGGAGCGAGGGTCCCTGCTTCATCCAAAGGCTCATAATAACCACTGGCGTTCACCACGTGACGTGCGGTTTTCGTACTCGATCCGATTTAATCTCCATGATTAAACACCCATGACCCAGTGACTGTTCCACCCACCACGCCTGACAGCTGAGGCTTCGTAGCTCACCCAAGGTCACCCGGGTCACACAAGGTCCTGCTCAGTGACAGGAGCTTGGCCCCAGTCTCACGGTCTCTGCGGCCCAGGACTGAGCCACGCTGCGTCCTAACACAATGGGAATCACCAGGGAGGGGCCATCGATGAAAAGGAGAAGTCGTGCGAAGACTCGGTCCTGGGCAACTCAAAAATTTACAAAGACAAAATGGGAAGGAACCCAAAAATAGAAGGGCGGAAGCCACGAGAGAGGGCAGGGGATGTCGAGAACGTTGGGGTCCCTCAAGGTGGGCGACGGGAGCCTTCCAGGAGGTTCACGGAGCAAGCAGGCCGCCTGGCAGGACACTCAAAGCGCTGAGAACTAACCCTGCGTCCTTCTGGATAAACATCCACATCCGTCGTTCAGGAGAACCTACCGCACCGAGATGTCACAGAACAGGGAGCAGGGGGGACTGAGCAGCCACACAGCCACCTCAGCACGATCCTCGAACTAGAACTGCCCCATGGCCCACAGGATCCATCCCAAGAGGCAATTCCTCTTCGCCAGGGATGGGGAAGCCGGTAAATACTGCAGAAGAATCGCAGAACGGAGATGTCAGGTGGCAGCGTTCTGTCACCGTCGTGGAAACGGTGGGGAACTGCTGCAGTTCAAAAGGCCTCCGTGGTCCCTCGTACAGCCCAGGGTCTCTCCGCCACGCAGACCTGCGCCCCTGGCCCCTGTGCCTTCTGTCACGGCCAGTCCTCTGAGGTCCCCCGTGGAGGCGGGGATGGGAAGCCTGGCTCGGCGGCCGCCGGTGGCCACAGCGTGGTCCCTAGAACTTTTGTGGCAGGTGTGTAACTGAGTGTCGGGTTCCGCAGGCCCTGAACGACCAACGGGAGGGAGACATAGTGTTCCTCAGGAAATCGAAAATGGAAGGTAGAAGGTCTGCCGGAGCCACCCTGGGGACGGACAATGGCGGGCTCCGTCTGGGACACAAATCTGCGTAAAGTCTCCATTGCTAGGACTATTTTCTCTCAACTCTAAGCAACGACCGTCCTCAATGAAAATACTTTCACCTCTGCTGCCTTTCATCACAATAATTGCTAAATACACACTTGCTCCTTTGATGGAATAAGCCCTGCTCCCCCAAAACAACAGTTTGGGATACAGCAGAACCCCACCGAAGCTTCTCACAGTGAATAGAGTTTGTTTGTTGTACACCTTGTCTGAAAGTGTCATTGTCATTTTTAAAAAATGCTTGGTGTCCCCTTTGTGCAAAGCCTCGCTCCAGAGTCTACTGCAAATGCAGCACCATCTGAACCTCAAAGGGCTCACAGCGTATGAGTGACAGGGGATGTGGGGTTTGGGACATGCCCCCCGATGTACTGGTATGATTGAGGAGTTAGAAGGTGATCGATGGAGAAGAATCAGTGAGGTCGAGGAGGGCCGAGAAAGTGCCATCCTTGAGAGTAGTCACCATTTTCCAGGCAGAGGAAGGAAGGTTCCTGGTGTTGGAGAGAAAATGAACAGTATGGTGACCATCGGGACGGGGGACGGGGGGGGGGGGGAGGAGAAATTCAGAGGATGCGAGACAGGAATAAGGAAGTCACGTCCCTGTATCTAGGGACACAGGTAACAAAGCAGAGAACAGATGTGATCAGTGTTGCAAAATACCTAGAAGCTCCAGGCCTTCAGGAAGACAGGAATCAATATCCCGTTCATTACTATTCAGATTCCAGGGCTACACCAATGCGGCCAAAAGAGGAAGAATCATGGGGTGTTCTGAACCATGCAGGGGCGATGACGGAATGAAAGAGAAGAGGAAGTCTGAGGAGAAACGAAACTTCAAAAAAGAGAAACCAAAAAAGTATACAGTGAACACTGAGTTCATAATTATAGCTATTCAAAATATTCAACGTTCAAGTTTTTCTCAAGTTCAGTACAAGCAAAAGTCAGAGGCATTTCCATGTAATCCTTCTCCACTCAATGCTTGGACCCTTTTCCGAGGGGCACCAATTTTGTTTGTAAGACTTGTCCTTTTTAGTAACTTTTTTTTAGATTTTGCAGTACTCAAAAAGAAATATGAAAGTATTTTAAAAAGAGAATCAAAGATCAGGGCCCTAAATGTGTGCTGTGCTGACTCTGGCCCTTCCGTTTTTCACAGTTGCTATGAGTAACAGGTGCATTTCTCTCTCATCTGACAAACCAAATCCCTGTACTGCTGGGAATTTTCATCAGGCTATGTAACTGAATACTCAATGTATCACCGGAAATCATAATAAGTAATTATGATGACATCATATAGTGATAAGTATTGGTACTGGTGAATCATGTGTCTTATCTATTGACACAGAAATGATCAACATTAACACCATCAAAACAGAAACCAAAAATTATTTATGCCACTCCAGTGAAAGACAAGTATCATATGGTTTCATTTCTAGGCAGTAGGAAAACCTTTTCGATGAAATAAATCAAGGTAAGTCTCTTTTAAAAGAGGTGTTACTATTGACCTTCATAATAACCTCTGTCTTCATATTAAGAGGTGAGTGGGAGATCTCGAAGGAAATATGGCTAAGACTGGCTGCCCCTGACAAACTCACAGCAAGTTACAGACACTTCGAAGCAGCCTGCCAACATCCTGCGTCATGACTGGCAACCTGCTCACCGAGCCCCTGACACCTCGCTGCTGTCCAGGAACTGCGCTCCCCCCGGCTTGCCCTCCCTCTCGAATGCAAGATGAAGCCCCATTCGGGGGAATGCACACAGGAGTTACCCCAGAAGTACTGCTGCTACGCGATTAAAGCAAGTACCGCTTACCATCTCCACCTAGCCACTCACCGAAATCACGGTGCTGCCCAGCCTCTGAGTGAGTGAAAAAGTACAAACCAAGGTCTAAGATGGGCTGAACTTGAGCTTGAAGAAGCTCCCCCTGACTTATCTTCACTTCTGCGCTTATGAGTTAAAATGTGTATTTACCAAGAGCTGTCCCTGTCTATTCCAATCGTAGGGATTATTGCGATGACGCAATAAAAATGAAATATTATCCACGGATTCAATGGTGATGAAAAAAGATAGAAAAGATGTTCTACTGGGGGGAAAGAAAGGCTGTTTCTCTCAGAAAGAGTTGCTAAAGGTTTTGTGTGCATCACGTGATACAGGTGCAGTCTGTGAGACAGCTCGGAGTTATTAGGGGAAATCAGCATTAAAGTCTCTAAAGGTGCAGCTCTCATGTTGTTTTATAACTACCTTTACATCTGCACACTGATTTAGAGAAATTGGAGCTCATTTCTGTAGGTGAGGCAGTAACAGGTGTAGTTCAGGAAAGAAGCAACCCATGAAAATCCAATCTGCATATCATTTCGGGAAAGAAATGTCTTAGCCATAAGTCAAAAGATTAGCTTTTATCATTTCAAATAAAAATTTTAGACATGTATACATAAATGTTTGATAATTCTTCACGGTGACCCACGTTCTTATTTGTCTACTCACTACCGGATCAAATCAAATCGAGTAAGATGTATTTCACGGTCCCGTCCTAGGACAACACCTAAGGCAAACACGGAATAATAGAAAGTGTGCATTCAGACGGTTCAACCTCACCACCTACAGTCATGAGCTCCCTTACTGCTGCCTTGGCAGCCACATTCAAGTCCCCCTGGGACCTGTGCACACAGCGTGCTCAGGGAGCCAGGCCATGCCCAAATCCATTCATTCCTGCCATGTGAGCTTTGGGGAGAAAGGAGAGTCACCCCCAGCCATCTCTGTGCACAGAGCCAGGTAATCTCCTTCCTAGTGGAGAGTAAGCAAAGTTGTCCCAAGTAACCACGAAATCACCAGAAACAAAGAAAGCCCTAAGACTAGAACCACACAGACGAAGAACGAAGAAAGACGTTGTAACCTGGAAGAAGTTCAGGGAGCAGGTCACTGTTTCTTGAAAAAGAGGGAAGATACTTCATCCTATTTAATAAATGGATTCAGCACTTCAGGAAAGCATCCTTATTTCCTGTAGAAGAACTGATGTTCCCAAAACTGAGAGGTTCTCAGCTTCCTTGCACTGACTTAACTTGTTTGTCTGGATTCTACCCTTGGGCTCTCCTTGGGGCCCAGCTATCTGGTCTACCAGGCTGTTTGGGAATGAACAGCTGTGTGCAGAACTCACTGTTGACACCACAAACTGACCTGCGTGGTGGTTCCTGCAAGTATAAATAGAGCTGTCCCTGCCCCGAGCTCACAGAAGCCACTTGACTTGACGGGCACTGCCATGACCAGCCAGTCTCAGGGGATCCACCAGCTCCTTCAGGCAGAGAAAAGAGCCAAGGACAAGCTGGAGGAGGCCAAGAAGAGTGAGTGCCCCTGCGCTGTGACTGTGAGGGACTCCATCACCCAAAGGACAGGGTGGTGGGTGGGCAGTGGGGAGGGCCTGGGCCCCAGCAGCATGCTCAGTTCCAACCCTGGTTTTGAGTCTCTTCCTACCAGACTGTGGCCAGTGCTGGCTGCCCCATTGTGCAATGGGGACATAGGTCTCTAATGCAGATCCTTCTGAGGGGCTGTGAAAGAATCATAGACGTGGAAGTCACAGAGACAGGGGCTTGCCCTGTCCCTGCCACTTCCCTAATGCTCTGCAGCTCAGTGTCACAATGGTGTGACCGGACTGAGAGGCAGACTGTGTCCAGACTGACGCCATGGGCTGGAGAGGAGAGTATGTTACGGATGTGCTGTCGGCGTCCGCGCCTGTGTCTGTGGGACTGTGTGGTTCATGGCGCCGTCTCGTCCTGTTCTGGAGGACGTGGAGACTCTGAGGTTTTAAAATACTTCCATTTGGTTCTCACTCTTTCCCTTTCTTTGTATTTAGTCATGCCCCTGTGTCCTGACTCACAGAACTTTCTCCATAAGCTCCAACTCCCTTCCTATTCTCTTTGATCTTCACAACAATGGCACAAATCGGGAATTCTATCATTCCCATTGCGCGGATGTAGAAACTGAGAGGCCATCATTTGCAAAAGGTCATAATGTTTTTAAAAACAGAGGGGCCATGGTAGGGGCGGAGTCCGGGTGGGGTCTGATTTCCAAGCCAAGATTGTAATGACCACACGACCCAAAATGTACATCATTTCTATGCCAAATAGTCTAACGTCACAGATCTGCAGCTCAAAGTCAGGTTGCTTGGGTCAGTACCCACGTTCTTTCCACCGTCCCACTTCATCTTTCTACTCAATTCCACTTAGATCCAAGGTCCACCTTCCCCCTCCTACTTAGAATCAAGGTCCTGTAAGTCAGAGGCCATGGGTAAAGCGGTGGCTCACGTCACTCTTCCCACCAGTGTGGGGACAGGAGCAGCAGGGAGGGAGGCACCTTCAGCCCAGTGGGGTAGGGACCTCAGGTCAACACTTTTTCTTTTGTAAGGCAAAAGGATGTTGGGAACACAAGGCAATCTGGGTACCAACCACAAAAGGAACGAGTCCCTTGAGGGCTCGGGGAGGGGCTGGTGCTCAAAGAGGAGAGGAAGGAGAAAGATAAGGGAGACAAACTTGGCCATACCTCACAAGTTCTTGTTCTACAAGGAGCCATGCAAATGCTTGCAAAGCGGCAGGGTACAGAGCACTTCCAGAGAAGAAAAACCCGGCCAGCACCTGCTGGTGACTCAGGGGAAAAAACTCCCTCACTGCGCATTCAAATGTCCTCCACCACAGCTGGAACATCCAGCTCAGAAGGACTTGCTTTCAGACGCGATCATGATTTACCTTTGCTTGTCATGGAAGAGGCAGAATGACAATGTATGTCACTGTGACCCTGTAGGTAATCTATGAGCACATATGTTATCAATATTATCATAGCATTCCAGCGATTTTGACCAATTACGCCTTCTTTTTCAAAGTCACTTGAGCAGAAAAGTACTGCAAGGCATGTAAGTCATTTGGAGGTGGGAACCGCCCTGAACAGCCTGTTCTCAGATTCAAGGGTGAAAGCCACACGGCTCTTCCTGCCTTTTTAGGATCAGGAAATACAGGGTGTCATTTGCATACAGACGTTCCTTGTATCTGCCAGTGACTTGAAAGTCCTTGGGGATCTATTATTACTCAGTTTCTGCGGATGGACGTTCAAGCAAATATTCAACCAGTCAATACCCAGGCCTTGAACACATTTTGGGCAATATTTTGACTTTCAACAACTAACCTCCGTACTCAGCATTCCAGAGAATGTCAGTCTGTCCTCTTTGCCTCAGAAACCATAGGCTTGGAGGACAGTGGTCACTGGGTAGAGGTTGCCATCTTAGGTAGTTATCAGCCAGTGGAAGTTTGTTGTGACAACTTCGCCGGCCACACTTGCCATACAAGGTTTTCATCCTTGTAAGACAAAGCAAGTGTGCCTTTTTGTACCTGGTATTTTGCAGCATCTCCCCATTCATTCATTTAATTTAACAAGTATTTTGGGGGTACCTACGCCCAAGCCACGACAATGTAAATGCTGCTGAACCGACCTAGATGCCGCCTGAAAAAATTCCCCAGTGAGATAAACGCATCCGTAAGCCCGAAGGAAGAGGAGGGAAGATGCCGTGAGAGGTTCAGGCTGCCTCCACTTTTATAGACGCACGTGTTTCGCTGTATTTGTTTTTCCCGTAAAGGGACTCATTTGAAATCTGACCTACGTGAAGGCCAAACAGGGGCTCAGAGTGAAGACCCTTGGGTCATGACCGTGAACACCATTTAGAAGGTCTACGATCCCTTCCTCGTTAGTGAACTCATTTATTTCAAAGTCTCTCAGACGCCTACATGGAGTATTTGCTAGAGTGGCCTCCTAAATATATAGTTAGGAAGGAAGGAAGGAAGGGGAAGGAAGGAAGGAAGGGGGGGGGGGGGGGGGGGAGGAAGGAAGGAAAGAAGAGAAAGGAAAGAGAAAGAAAGAAAGAGAGGGAGGGAGAGAGAGAAAGGGAGGGAGGGAAGGAGAGAGAGAGTAAAAACGCAGCAATCCACATGTTGATCACTTTAGAAAAATACAAGATTAATGAGGTGGCAGTATTTCTATAGATGCTGCAAAAGCATGAATGCATTCCATTAAGGGGCGCCGCCCCAGACCTCTGAGAAGCTGTTACCGAAGACAATACGCGGCGTAAATGTTGTGTCCTGAGGGGTACAGACCCGACTCTCACTCTCGTGAAGGCTGGGGTCTGTGGGAACGGAACCTGCTGCCCCTTGCCCTCTGAGCAGTCACCCGCTACTGAGACAGTTTGGGGGGGCAGGAGAGGTGTAGGGAGAAGCAGAGAGCAAACAGGCCTGAAAGGCTGGGACACGAGGCCGTAGCATACGAAAAGCATTGGGTTTTTTTAAATGTTTCTTTATATAAATGTATGCTTCTTTGTATAAGTTATTTAGCATCTCTGAGCTTCACTCTTTTTTTTTTTGCAAAATGAAAGTATAGCCAAGATGTTTCAAAGATTGGAAAACTGTACGTAAGATAGTAAACTACAGACTACAGAGTTATTTTTAATATCCCAAACATATACTTGTATATTACTATAAGTAGAACAGAACAATCTAGTTTCATTCTTTTTTTATTTTTACAACTGCCGCAGGTTCTGAGTCAACTTTTCCTGTAATTGGAGGGAGCTGGACGGCTTCTGGTTAGACCATTAAAATAGCTGAGATATTTGCTTCCATTCACTGATTATGGATAAAATTACACTTACCAGTGAAGACACTCACACAGATATTTATGGGCAAAGCAGCCTTACTGTTTGGTTGAATTTAGATAAAAACATAGCAGGTTGGCACAATTTTCAATTCTCTTAGTTCGAGTGAGCACCTTTTGCCTAAAAGCTGTTCATTAACCCAAACCTAAAGGTGGGTGTGTTGGTCCCAGACCAGTGACGGTTCCACGGCAGAGCCGTGTTCAGAGCTGCCCCGGATGCCCAGGTCTCGGGTGTTGCCTTGCATCTTCCATCAGGATTAGACCAGAAACTCAGGGTCCCCTCGGCAGAAGAAACACAGAGCCGTGTTTCCCTGAAATCTGCGAGCCCCCGATGCTAGCCCGCCCTGGTAGGAGAGTGCGCTCCCTCCCAGTCACAGTCCCCGCAAACCCCAACAGCTCAGCAGCGCCGCCCTGGCGCCACTCCCGGGTGCTACAATGCGCGACATGCGACGTCACACAAAGAGCCCGTGTTTTACTTCTCCCACATGTGCACACAGCCTCTCCCACAAGCAAACAGCCCGTCCATGTTGCCAGCTGCAGGACATAGCATTTCTGCTCTACATGAAGTAGCAAGTTGCATCATGGGCTGTGGAGGGAAGGACGGAGTGAACAGTGCACATGCCCAGATCTGGATCGTGAGCAAACTGAACCAGCAGGCGTGTGCCAGACACAGGCGTGTGTGCCGCCCCAGGGAAGCTCCCCGCCCAGGTCGTCTCTTAAGCACGGTCTTCCGTGAGGGGTGTTGGACTCAGCCTTCAGTGCAAAATGAATAGGTAAGAAAATGTTCCTGCTTTTATCACACTGAGGTCTCACATCGGCTCTTACAGTAACATACACGAGTTTTGTTCTAGAACGGCAACCACAGGTACTTTTTAACATCCACTAATTGCCCATTTGTTCCCAAATATGCAGATATTCTGAATTATTGAAGCAAGCTCCTTGAGTTAATAAGTTCTTCACTAGGCGAGGGGATGTTTTTGGTTCAGGAAGACATGACTTGGAATAAACTAATAAAACAGAAGTGGTTCTATTAGGCCTTCCTGGCCCTGTGCTCAGTGTTTTGTAGGCTTGTAAATCCTTCCTCTTTTCTTTATGGTGCACAGCCTAATGGGCTACGCGAGCATATATTGGACTCTCATTTCTTCGAGTGGGTCATATTAAAATAATAACCACATTTTCATCTGCAAATGCCAGTGGGTTTTATGCAACCAGGAGCCACAGAAAATGCTCGTGATATTTTTTAATAAGGAAAGTGCATGTAAAGGAGAATTAAAGACCCGAAAAGAAGATTCATAAAATAATGTCAGTTTGGGGCAGCACTGGAACCCGGGAAGAAGCTCAGGCACCAAATGGGAGGTTTGTTTTCCTGACATTTACCTTTTCCGATATTTGCAAAACAGAGCGCTCTTTGCAGGAGGCTGGTTTTGTCATAATGTTAACACCACCAAGCCAGGTGTCCAGGTTTGGTTTGTTTTCCCGTCCGGAACAGGATGAGAATGGTGCTTAGGAATGGGTGAGACCCTCCAAATGTGCCCCCGGAGGCCTGGTTTTCACAGCCTGTCAAGCTCTGTTGTGTTTGGTGCACATGTGTCAGGTGATGCATCCGTGGGGACACCTGCTCTTGCCTCACGCCCAGGTACCTGGCTTGGCCTCCGGTACTCAGCTGGCAGGTTGTGTCTTCATCACTGAGCACCTGTGTTGGGTTTCTAGGGCTGCAAAGTGGGGCCTCCAAACCACAGAGACGTATCATCTCCCGATGGAGAGGCCAGGTGTCCGGACACCCGGTGCCGGCAGGGCTGGCGCCTTCGGGAGACCCAGAGTGAGCACCGTGTTCTCTTCTAGCTTCTGGTGGGGCCCGTGGCCCTTGGCTTGGAGCCGCGTGGTGCTGTCCTCTGCCTCTGTGATCGCGTCACCTCCTTCCTCGTGTGTCCGCTCTGGGTCTCTCACCCTGTGAGTGAGTGTGCCCCCGGGTGGAGCCCTCCCCCCCTCCCACTGATTCTGCTTGTTCCCCCTTGATTTCAGTCCAAACCCCACTGCTGTGACCGGCGTGGACTCTTGCCCAGAGGGCACGTCTGCAAATCTCTGCCACCATCCGAGACCTTTCTCCAGGGTCCCAGACCAGTCCGCCCAGCTACCTCCTGAACACCTGCACCTGGGTGTCCTCAGCACAGTGACGGGGGCTTCTCCTCAAACTCATGCCTGACTTGCTGCCTTGTTTCTTGGCCAGAGGCCCCAACAACCGCACCTGTCTTCCTAATAACGGGTACAAATTACTGAATATTCTTTGTCGAGCAACTTGGATACATTTTTCCTGATCCTTCCAGCAACTTTTTGCAGTAATTCAACCTGTTTGTTGGCTGAGAAAGCTGGGGTTCAGAAACTCCAGCTTGCTCAAGGCCGGGCAGCTCCTCCTGTCTCTTTGTAGCAGGGACTAGTGTGTAATCTGTCTGAAACGGCCCACGACACCCCCTCTTCCCCATCAAAGAGAAGGTCCCCAAACCAAGGCAGCAATCCAAGCCACGGGACACCGTTCTCTGTGCCTCAAGGGCGTGTGGGCATCTTGGGACGCACTGCCGTTGGCCTCCCCTGACCAAGAAGCCAGGGAGAGCCTGTCTTTCAGTGTTTCCCTCTGTCTGCCACAGAGTCCAGAGTTACCTGCTCCAGACTGACTTCTTAGCACTTTCCCCACCGATCACCTGAAAAATCAACCCAGACATTCTCCTCTCCTTTCAGTTTTCTCCCACAGATCACCCCGTGGAACAGATCCCTGGGACGGCTTCTGGAACGCAGGACATGTCTACCTGGGTCACAGGCCACACGTCTGAAAATGAACGCTTTTACTCAGGCGCAACCAGTTACAGAGAGGCCCCCGAAATAGCTTGGGGTCCCCTTGCCTGGTTTCTAATATCCGAAGTAGACGCTCCATCCCCGTTATTTCCTGGCTTCGTTTATACGTTTGACTGACTCTGTTACCGTCGGACGAGACTGCTGGAGGAGGGGAAGCAGAGATGCCCTGGGGTTTCAGAAGTTTCCATAAAGGTGGCGATTTTTAAAGGTCACAGAACAGCCAACCGAGATAGTTCACGTTCCATTGCTGTCATCACTGCCTTGGGGTGTTTTTCGCAGTGTCACGTATTTTAAGGGTTTTCTCTTGGGAGCTGTAGCAGCAGCAACAGGCTCTGCACCGTGTCAGGCGGAGGCCCTGTCACGGTGTTTCTGGGTCCTTGTTCCCAGCCCCGGGCAGCGTGTGTGGTCCGTGCTCGGGAAACACTGAAGATGGAGGACGGACGGGAAAAGCATCGGTCCTCACCGGCCGGCGCACGTTGTGAACCACGATGCACGAGACCAGCACAGTTCTTTAACCAGAAAGCAGAGCGTTGGGCCCCATGAGGCTGTGCGACCGGGTAGGAACTTTGGGACCAACGATTTGACTGTCACACGTCAATTCGGATCCCACGGAGGGGGCCATCCCCACGTGTGACGCAGAAAGAAGAGTGGGGGCCCCTTTTGTTTTCCGTGCTTAATAAGAAAGTCTGATTTCCCAGTGTGGAAGTCCCCGCCCACCGCAGTGCAGCAAACTGGAGGTAAACAGGAGGAGACGGGACTGTTTGCCTCGCCTCCAGGGCATCAGCCGCCTGGGGGCCCGGTTCTCCCTCCGGATTAGCAAGGCGCCCCCCCCCCCCCCACCGAGGCAGCTCCGAGTCTGGCCAAGAAAACGCGGCCAGCAGCGAGGGCCCGGGACTCTCCCATTTAATTGAACAAGACCCAGCAGGTGACTGGTGCCAGGACAGGAAGGGGGGGTCACAGACACTTGGAGCCTGTCGCTGGGGAACGGAGCTAATATTCCGCTTCCACGTGGGCGCTGGGGTGGGGCTGCAGCGTTTTCTGTTACTATTATTTTTCTTCTTATGGGCTAGAGCCAGGAGTTTGGGACGAAATTTTTACATATTATGGAACTGAGATGCAGAGGAGTGCTGTTTGCTGGGACTCGTCTTATAAAAGGGCTACATATCCTACAACCCAGTACTACTAAGAAAATGTTACTACATCCTAAATACGTCTTTGTTTTCATGTCATGACAAGCGGTGATAAGACAGTGGGCTGGGATCAAGGAATAGTTTTCCTATCGACACTTCACCGGGTTCTCCTGTGAGTGAAATAGAGCGTGTGTGGTTGCCATGGAAGGGCTGGAACTGTAGAGAATACAGAATCCTATATGGGAAAGATGGTAACGAGTCTTGATTGAGAAGGAAAACGATCTGTTAGTGTCCCTTCAGCCTCAAGCTGCAGAACAACCCCGATATTCACCAGACTCTGGATTTGAAGGGAATAAAGGAAGGTAGGTATCCGCTCTGGAGGAGACTTGCAGAAGGGCCATTCCAAGCTGACAGACATTAGGGGCCACATTTCAACGTATAACTCGATGAGTTGTCAGACCATGTGTTACAGGGTGATTAGCAGGAAACTCAGACCTAGCGGGGGGTGAAATTTAAAGCTGTCTACACACAAATGCTACAAACATTCTTAAAAGCAAAGACATATGAAAACACGTACCTATATAACAGATTAAAAAGTCATGTTAAGATTTTCTTTTACACTACTTAATCAGAAAACAGTTACTTAGTCCGAAATCTCCACACTGTAACCAACCTGTGATAAAAATGCTCAAAAGGCACTAACATCAGAGAAGAGAAACCAGGTTGAACGGGCAAAACAAGGAAGGCATTGAACTGAAGCAGAAAGACAATAGATGAGAGGAAAACGCATTTTAATACCCTCCAGAGTTGCTTTAAAGTTTTAATGATCAGACAGCATTAGTACCTAACCCCCTGAAGGCGAGGGGGGGGCACAGCAGCAATTAATATTAGTCTGTACCCCCACCCCCACTTCCTTGGGTTGTCAAAAATAAGTCATGTGCGTCGCTAATGACCCCGCCGCGCAGTATTCGTCCGACTTCCATCTGCACCGCTGCGCCCGGGCTTAAGGCTTACACCTTCTCTCTTAATCAAAGGAGGGACAGGTCCCCCGCTCAATTCTCAACCATTAAAAACAACCGGTTTTACAACCACTTTCAAGTCCCCCTCAGAGAAAGCTACCAGAAAAAAAAAAGAGAGAGAGATTGACTTTGATGTGCTGTGGGGCTTAATCAGACATGCTAGAGTCAAGGAATGGCAAGAAAAAAAAATCCCCATAAAATGCTCTTAAAACCGGTAAGCGGGTTTGATAGAGTGTGAGCAGCGTGGCTGTGTCGGGCTGGCACACTGCCAGCGTTAAATGGGATCCAGTCGGCGGGGACTGAGGGCTCCTGGCAGCCAACCAGGACTGAAAATTGGACCCAGTCACGTCTTTTCGAGTAAGTGACAGCGGAAATCTGTTCTCTGGCCATTACCGCTGTCAGCAGGGGGGCAGACACTACCTTTAAACACGGAGGGGTGAGCAACCGTTGTCTCTCCCACGGTCTCAAGAACCCAGGCGAAAAAGATAAGGAGTTTCTCACGATTGTCATTCCGTGCAGTCTGCTATTCTAAAAAAAAAAATCATCAAAAAATAATGCTGACCTCACTTTGTACGTTTAAAAACCTAGCTTGAAATTCCATGTGTAGGAAAATATAAATATATCATCCCTTCTATGCTACTGTTAACTTTTCAGGGAAAGCTAAGCGAATAAAGCAAGCTAAGGAGGAGGCGATGGTGGAAATTGACCAGTACCGGATGCAGAAGGATAAGGAGTTTCGAATGAAGCGATCCAAGGTGAGTAGGACGGTCCGCACCGATCCCGCGGATGCGGAGCCTAAGGTCCCACAGTCGGGAGTTAGTGACACAGCAGTGGCACTGGAGGGGGCGGCTACGTTCAGCCACGGCCCAGTGACAGGCTGAACCTGCAACGTTGACGAACTGGCGACTCTTCATTTTGATTTTTCATTTTCAGTTCCGAGGCTTTTTGATTTGCCCCTGAAGGTGCCCGTCGGTAATTATTATTTCAGACCTAGTGCATATGAAAAATGATCTTCTCGAATACAAAATCAAAGGGGTTGCTCTGAATGGGATTCTAGGCTACAAATGATTGATTAAAGCATGCTGTTGTAAGGAAAAAAAATCAAAAAACATATTTTTGACTATTAGTGTTTATGAGTAGAATCCATAATAGGTATTCTACAATGTTGGGTTAACCCTTCCTTGAGTGGATTCAAGATACACAAACTACCGAAATGGATATTGTTGCAAATTTCCCTATGACTGGCTTTCCAAATGGCTGGGGCCATTCAACAGAAGTTTCCTCTGACTATAAAGACCTACTTTTCCCTACACTAGCATTTAAAAAGTACATGTGGATTACAATAAAAAAATAAGTGCATGAAATTTTCAGAGAAGACATCTTCCTTTCAAGTTGCAAGGTGGACTAAAAGAAATGATTAAGTCTCATGTGCTGTAACTAGAGTTCCTATGATGCTTTCCTTTGGCCTCAGGAAAAGGTGTCAATAAAGCTCTGACGGCTGACGTTGCGGCGTAAAGCTCCAAAGGCTGACGTTGCAAGATGCAGTGAAAGCAGTTTGAAAAACCCCTTCGTTTACAACTTCGATTTCAGCGGGAGCAGGTGTGGGTTTGTGTTGGAACAGGTACCTTGCATTCCCAGGTCAGAAATTTTTTTTTCCAATGGGCTGTTCTTAAAATAGGAAGTTCTTCCTAGGATAAAATGGGCCACTCGACAAAAAATAGATTCTTTTTTAATCAATATTTGTATAGAGGAATCGTAAGTCTATCCCTGCGCACACAGCCCAGAACAATTGGCCCTTGCCTCTCTCTCTGACCTGTTGGCCCTGGAAAAGTCATGTACTCACCTCTTACCATAAACTGATGATATTTTTTAACAGCTAGTAGAGGAAAAAGCACATCCTTTCCCGTTTTTCCTTCTGGGCTGTAAGCGCCAAGAAGGCAGGTCGTTGGCTTGTTTTGCTCTATGTTTTCCTCGGTATTGGCATAGTGTCCGCCAAGCGTAAACGCACAATAGGTACTCATTGAAAAATGAGAAACTACGCATTTCTTCTCTGCCTTTGCCTTTCCTACGGACCTCTGCCGTAACACGACAACCAGGACCTGGGAAAGTCATCCCCGGTAACGCCCATCAGCTTTGGTACCTTGTGTGGCTACTTCTGATCCAGGTATTCATTCTTTTTCAATAATAACAACACTGACCACACTTTTAGAAAGGGGTTGCAGGAAATCTCCCAACACTGCATCTCCACAAGAATCTCTGAGACGTGAATCTGGTCTAAGACATTTGCTCTCTGCCTGGGAGAATAATTAAAGCTCCTCACTGCAGCCCTCACCGGAGCTCTAAGCCGATTTTACAGGGAGTGGATCAAACGCTCACCAAGGGAGCCCCACGGGCTCAGGCTTGGGCTGCCCCTCCCCTTCCTGTGAAAATGTGGGTGCCCATTGCCCTCCGTGGCCGCCACCTCTGTGTGCAGGAGCCCCCGCTGCTGGGCTCAATCTCATCCTCAGTAACCCAGGGCTCGTGGCTCTGGGAGCAGACTGCAGAAGCCACTTTTCTGTGTTACAGGTGCTGCACCTGGACGTTGCCGCTCTTGTTCCTTTTTAGCTCTTATTTATTGCATGTGCTGTGTTAAGCCCCCTGACCGACAGAATCAGATACCCCAGTGTGGGCGGGATGTCGACCGATACTCTGTGTCAAAGATTTCCTCATCTTACTTGTACCAGGTCCGCCCGACACACAGACGGTAGAACATCGTTGCAAAGAAATCTGGACTCTGATGGGAAAATGAAATCTGTTGTCGATGCAATAAAAGTCGGATGAGTCTACGCAGACCTGAACATGGTCTCCTTGGGGATGTTGAAGAATTTTTTTACATCTCTGTTCTTTCTGAATTCATCTCGTGAGTGTGCTTGGTTTCTCTGGAACCTCCACACACTGAGAATGCAAAATGGTGTGTGGGACCCGAGCCTCTGCTTTCTCTTAAACTGCGACATTTGAACAACTTACGATGAAATGTGCGGGCCGGCGAAAGCGCCTGGCTCCCCCAGCCAGTCCCTCCACTGGAGAGGGCTCCACGCATCAGCCTCGGCATTTGAAGATTTGAAAATTAACATGGGAAAGCCCTTTCCTGGCTCCCTTGGGCCAAATGTACCATCACTTGCCACCTGATTATCAACTTCTCAGTTATTTCTTGTCCCAAGCATTCAGGTAGTGGGCTTCTGCCAACAAGCGCGACGGACACAGGTGACACCTGGAGACCTGCTCCTTCTGTTCCGAGTGACGAACAGGTGCTGAGCACCTGCTGTGCACCAGGCGGTGGTGGGGCCGGGCCAGGCGGCGGCGGTGAAGCCACACTATCTGCAGACACAAGGGGTCGGGACGCCACCCCAGGAAGGTCCCCGAATGGGGGGCACGGTGGGTGCTGCCCAGGAAGCGCACCACTGCATACCAGCTAAACTCAGAAATAACACTCGATTCAATTGTGCAGAATGAAGCATAAAAGGACAGGTCACCTGACGGGGTGCGTCAGTGTAGTCTGACCCTGGGAATGGATCATAGAAATGCAAATGTGCAAGCAACACAGGGAAAAGCCATCGTTTTCACGAACCCTGGCTGATGGCTCGCCCAGGGCTGAGCGTCTGTGCTGAGCACTGTCTTCACAGTGAATGTCTTCAGAAAAGAACCGTGTTGTCTTAACACAGCATATTGACACTGTGACGAACGCCAGCAGCTGGCATCTGTCACCCCAAATCTGCACCGTCAGAACTTGGGGCCACGTCCCCTGTGGCTACCGAACACCGGAGATGTGGCTGAGCCCGATAAAGATGTTCTAGGAATGAAAACCGTGTACTTGATCACAAAGACTTAGTGTAACGCGTATAATTCAAAAATAAGAATGCAATGCTTTTTATATTGATGGGTTAGAAGCTGCATCTCTTCGAAATGATTTTCTTTGCCCTGGGAAGCCCCTACTTCCTGGGACAGAAACAAAAAGTAACTTGAACCCCATGGTCTCTACTGCACTTGATTTTAAGTTGAGGACCCAGAGAGATGGTGTTAAATTCTAGAACTTACTAGAGTTGAACATCCCTGAAGCAGGTGTTGGGCACGAACGGACCTCTTGGATCAAATTCAATGCACACCTCCCCTGAACACTCCCAGGAGAAAGACAGCAACACCCCAAAATGTAACTGCGTCACCTGAGTGAGCCGTGTTGAAGAAAAGCCAAGTTCGCACAGGAGGCAAATCCGAAGTGGGCTGTTTGCTCTGGCAAAGAGTAACTTTGCAAAGGGCTTCCCTGCAGGATCCTTTTAAATGTGTCACTCCCCTGGTTGTATAAACAATAGGGAAGACACAAAGGCCGAGTGGAAACTATTGTATGCACACAGAAAATGTGATGGAGACCCTTCCCTGCACGGTGTGAGCGCTGTGAGCCCACAGTTCTCATTTGGACTGTGCGGCCGTCTACTTAGAAGTAGCATCGACGTGCTAAGACCAGCCTCCCTTTCCAGGAAAGTTTGCCCATCCCACTCCCGAAGCTGGTGGTCTTCTCCATTTTGGGGGAAGAGTCTGGGGAAGTAACACATGATGCGTACGCCATAGAACGGTCGTAGAAAAACGGGCTGAAAAACCTGTTCGCCTGTCAACCCATGCACGTTTGATAGGACGTGTCTCGTGGTGAATTCTGCTCTCTGTTGGCAGGTGATGGGCTCCCAGAGCAGCATCTTGGAAGAAATGGAGGAGCAGACGCTGCAGAAGATCAGGGACCTGAAGGGAAGCTACGAGAAGTGTGTGGAGCATGTGCTCACGCAGGTTCTGGACATGGTGTGCGACGTGAAACCAGAAACCCACGCCAACTACAGAGCCGCCGACTAAAGGTGCGACCCACCGTCCACTTAGGTGCCGGGGCATGCGCCTGGCTGCTCACGGACTCATGTTCCCGTTAAGAAATTTGGAAGGTAAACCTTCCATCGGCTAGACATTCACAGATTCCTCTGTGCCGTAATTCACACATTAGCACTGACTTTATTTAAAAACAAACAAAAAGTCGTCACCTGTTTTCTGGTGACAGGCACGAGCTTGTCACTGAATGTGAGGGAAACCAAGAAAGCAGAGAGAAATATATTCTTGACACTTGACAAAACCATGGGCCTGAGTACATTTTGTGGGTGTGAGGGTTTTTTTTTAATGTTTACTCCTTTTTATCAAGTTAGAAGAATGTGCTAAGTTATAGCTAGCTGTAGTTAAGAGGTGATGTTTAAAGGAGAATATAACCCTGACTCTCAGGCAGATGGAAAGTGAACAGATGTCAAAGATTTTATTTAACTCATTAATCCCTGAGAAAACCAGTAAGATGCTAACCGCTAATTCAAAGGAGCATGCTGGGAACTCCATAGGTAGAAAGAGAAAGGATGGATGAATAGGTGAATAAACAGATGGATGGACAGATTAGCTTGAAAGAAAGAAAGAGATAAAAAAAAAATGGTTTATGTAACCATCCTTGCTCCCTAACCTCAAACAACAAGATAATCTTCTCTTTCAAATACGATTTTAAAAAGTAAAAAGTAAATGACGATTAAATTTGCTGCTAACCTAGATGTTTGGGTTTAAAACCATTGCAGGTGGTACCGTAGGTCAGCGTGTGATATGAACGGAATGTTTGTCTCCTTTCGGGATTCGTACATTGAGTTTAGTCTCCGAAGTGCTGGCGTTGGCGGCTGACGCTGCTGGGGGCGCTCACGTGCTGAGGGCGAGCCCTTGAGAGGGGGGCCGGCGCCCTTGTTCGGCGCGGCCAGGGAGCTGATATCTGCAGACCAAATTTAACACCAGTCCTGACGGAGCTTGACTGGTACATTTTAACGGTCACCAAACTACTCACATCTGCAGCTTCCAGTACAGACAGAAAGGAGTCTGAGCTGATTTCTGTCTTAGGCTTCCCTTGAGCAGACAAAGTCAAAATGTTTTTTTACCATAGCTTCTAAATCTCAGCGATAGTCAATTTTATATTCACATTAGGCAAGTGGGAGAAATTTTTAATTCTTTTTGTTTCCCTGTGTTTTTAATGGGGAGGGGTGAGAAAATCCCGAACAGCTTATGGGTTTTATGTGACAAATTTCTCCGTTTACCAGAAAGAGACGGAATTCTCCACTTAATGGCCGGCAGGGAGCCCCCCCTTCCTGGGAACACTGTCCCCGAGGGGATCTTTGGCTGGGGACGGGGAGAAAAGGCAGCGTGAAGGATTCCCACCTCGCCATAGACTGGAGAATTCTAACCCTGTCCTCGGAGTGAGGCCTGGGGAACAAAGGGGGGAACTGGGCTTCCGGAAAGATCCTTCCAAACGCGCAGCCTCGGGGTTGGCCTTCACGAGCACACGGTAAACCGATGAAACACCTTCTGTCGCAGAAACCATCGAGCTGCCAGTTTTCTGGAGGGAAGGGCTTGACTAGTCACCCTGAGCACCCCGCTCAGTAACAGATTCCTGACCCCGCCCCTGGAGGCGGGTGGCTTTTTAGGCCCAAGGTTCTAGTGGGCACACTCGGAGCGGCACGGGGCCTTCACCCGCCCAGGAGGCGGGACGACGTCGGGGTGCCCACAGCGGCGAGTCTGGTCCTGGCTGCGCCCCAAACTCTCTGCATCACGTTGTCAGCTCAGTCCCTCCGGCCTGATACCAATACTTTTAAAAATGTTTTAATAGACAAAATGGCATGGAGCTAAGTAAGCCCTGTGGGTGGTTTTACAGTGACTTTTATGCCCTGTGTCAGGCTGGTCTCAGTTAAGGAGAGTCCTCGTCCAGGCGGTGGTGTTTGGGGGGATGCCCAGCACGGCGGGAGAGAGCAGGCTGCCTGCCTAGCACCCCAGATTCTCTGTATGTCACCCCTGTTTCACATACAAATGTGGCATCGTGTTTTCACCTTGGCTCCGGTCCAGGGCCACCAGAGCGGGGTCCACTCACACAGGAAAGAGGCGTCCCCTGTTCTGGAGACCGTTCCTCCACAAGGGCTTTCCCGGTCACTGAGAGGGGACTGTCTTTGCACACACACTTCTCTTAAAACACTTTTTCTGCTCACGCAGGTCTCCCCCAGAAACAGAACCACGCAGGGTGTGAGGACCCTGCTCCCCCCGTCTGGCCCCTGTGCCTGATCAGAAATTGCACCATGGGAAACGCCTCAACGGACTGCCTGCTCGTTCCGATGTCACCTGGACACACAGCCACGCGCTCCACGGGAGTGCAGATGGGCCCTGGCTGCTGTGGCTCAGCGGGCAGAGTGCTGGCCTGCGAACCAAAGGGTCACTGGTTCGATTCCTAGTCCAGGCACATGCCTGGGTTGTGGGCCGAGTCCCCAGTAGGGGGCATGTGAGAGGCAACCACACATTAATGTTTCTCTTTCTCTCTTTCTTCCTCCCTTTCCCTCTCTAAAAATAAACAAATAAAAACTTTTAAAAAAAATAAAGAAATGCAGAGAGATGAAAAGGTTTCAGGTTTCTTTCCCTTTTATATTAGTGCCCAATGCAGTCAAGAAGGGCCCGCAATGAGTCAACACCACCACTTTCTCGGTGGACAGAGCAGGCAAAGGGACCCTAGTTGCCACTTCCGTGTAAGATGAGGGATGCCTCGGGGGCATGGGGTCCCTGTGCCCTCAAATCAGACCCTGCCTGGGACCAGAAAGCACGCGTACTGGTCCGGCTGTGGGAAAAGGGGGCAGAGCACCGAAGGGGACCGTGCCCCCGGCCGGGCTGTCTGCATTCCTCTCCCGGAACCGACGGGCACTGGGCCCCGAGCACGTCACTAGCGCCTGTGCCCTTCCTCCCTCGTTCAAACCCGAGAGGGACGGTGTCTCCGCGGAGCTAGCACGCACAGCGGTGACCACGTGCTCACGATGCTCCAGCGCTCCCGGCCCTGAGTTAGAGGGTAGGAGAGTTTGTAGCACGAATGGCAGTTAGCGTGGTTGTAGTTGGAAAGGGGCTGGGCCAGCTACGCTGAGTACGGGGAGGGAGAGGGTCTGGGAGGTGGGAAGGGCGGGAAGTCGCCGCCAGTTACTCCGCGGCAGGTTCCCGTGGGCCGTTCTGAAATATCCTGTTTTCGAAGTCGGCCGTTTCTCTGGGTGAAGTGGGACGCCGAGCAACAGAAGGTGGGCGGGACCTGTTTTTATCACGTTAGCACTTCCACCGAAAACGCAGCCACCTGTTAACTCGTTACCATTCTTGTTAATGTGCAATCCGTAAGAAGGCACGTGTTCCCCAGACACGCCAGCCCCCCCCGACGACATTCCAACAGAGCCCAGCGCGAACCTGAGAGCCTTGCCCATCTTCTGAAGCGCTGTTTCCTAGTCAATTCACAGTTTGTAGTCACAGCTCAGAAAAATGCCTTCCTCAGCACAAGTGTAAACACGTCCCCACACCCCAAAACAAAACCGCCGCAGCGAGTGCTATGCTGATTTCAGTCTGCACCGCAGGCAAGTTTCTACGGTGGCAGGGCCGGGTCTGGCAAAGGCTGCAGGAGCTGTGACTTTGGGGATGGAAATCGGGACGAGCCACCACTTCTGAAAGTTTGGAAATGGTCTGTGGCCACACAGAAGGAAGGAGAAACACTGTGCCCTAGTCACACACGACCCTGCAGTGCTGCTCTCCTGACAGAGAGCTGCGCTCCGCAGCCCCTGCGTGTGGCCAGTAAAAGCCCGCTGTCCTTCAGCCAAGGCCTCGGTGGCAGGGAGGAAGCCCACGCAGCAGCGTGAGCGGCAGCAGCAGGAAAACGAAAATGATACTGAGGCTGGTTATTGTGACCAGAGGCCGTTCTCTGTGCCCAGAGTTTGTCTTCTTTCCTTCTCTACCTGGCAAATCCTGCTCATTTTCCAAGGCCGAGTTTAAAGCTTTGTCTAATTTTTGAAGCCTTTCCCAACCACCTAGGAGAAGTGGCCCTCCGCCCCCGTGATTGTTAAGACTTTATTAGCACACGTCCCGGGTCGAGCACCACACGTGCCTGCCCGTGGACTCTCATTCCTCAAGGGCCGAACTCAGGGCTCGGCACATGGTCTCGGTTAGTGATTAATTAACAAGTTTAACATTCGCAGTCATCAGTAGTTTGTGATGATAGGAGAATAGCTTCTCCTGAAGTTGTCAACAGGAGTTTAGGAGGCTTAGAACTTAAATCGTGCCTTAGAATTAATTCCCTGTTGGTCTGCCAGGCCGACAAAGCAGCCCCAAAGCAGGAGGCTGATTAGGAGCTGGGCTGGTGAATGTGGGGGTGGGGGGGCGGGGGGCGGGGGTGCTCCCACCAGAGGGGCAGAGAACCAGGTGCAGAGAGGAACACGCCCTGGCTGGCTCCTGTTGGACAGACAGACAGACTCAGCCTGTCCCCGGTTTCCTGGTGGACTGGTCAGAGTTCCCTCACTCACGCTCACAGCGCTCGCCCTTCGCAGAAACCAAGGCTCCATAGAGATCACGTACATGAAACTACATGATTCCCACGTCCCCTCTGCTCCCAGCGGCCACAGCAGGCAGCCCCCCTCCTCACTGGACCCAGACTCCCAGGATTAGTCCAGCTCCCTCCCTCTCCACCCCCACACACCCTCCCACCCCAGCAACAGTGAGACCAGGGCAGACAGCCTGGGGTCTGGGAGGGTCGGTGGGTGGACACGTAAGACCAGAGGCCCACGCACTCGGCATTCCATCTCACACGCACGGGTGGACTCTGTTCTGACCTGGGATCGCCTAAGGCAAGTGGACACCGTCCCCCGCTGTCTCAGGAGCTTTCATTTCTCCCCTCGCGTTGCGAGCTACATGCTTCTCCCGAATACGGATGGGGTCAGAGGGACTGTCCGTGTCCCAGCGTGCAGCACTTGCCGGTGAGGAGAGACACGAGCTCCTCTCGCCCCTGCCCGCGCCCGCGAGTCTTTCCAGCTACGCCCGGGAGAAGCGGGAACACGTCACCTCCTCCAGAATGCGGACGGGGGACACCGCCGTAGAGACTTTAATTCGGTGCGTCTGGCGTGAGGTCCGCTGAGTGATCCGACGCAGGAGACCACGCTGGAGAAACGCCGCCCTCTGCCAGGAATCCACGTTGGGTGTGAGGACACACGCAGGCTGGGCGTGGAAGTGCAGGCACAAGACACTCCCTGCCAACGGCAACCAGAGGGCGCGGGGGCGGCCACTCTGACATCAGACAGAATAGACTTCACCAGGGATAAAGAAGGACAATATATCATGATACATGAGCCAACTTGCCAGGAAGATGTAATAACTGTAAATATATACACACTGAACGTCAGAGCACCCCAGCACAGGAGGCAGGCACGGACGGAATGTGAGGGAGAAAGGAGCAGGAAAACAAAAGTTGGAGATTTCGATTCCCCATTTTCGGTGTCGGCCAGGATGCCTAGAGAGATAGGTCAGGACACAGAGGACTTGAACGACGCTGTAAGGAGACCGTACAGACTTAAGGACACGTACGGAGCATCCCACCCACGGTTGCGGAGTGGACATTCCAGCACACACAGAGTATCCATCCTGCAAGACAGCGTCTTTGATGTTTCAACCGAGAATCTGCCGGAAACCTCCGAGTGAGAAGTCAGCGAAGAGCCCAGTTCGGGGGCTGCTGCTCGGCGGCCTGTGGCGGAGATCCCGCGAGACGTTTCTGCTGAGCTTGCCGTCTGCAGGTTTTTGGGGGTGTCTTCTACCCGTCTCTACCCTCAAGCCCTGCGAGTATTTGTTCTTGAAGAGCCGAGTCCCTGGCCGAGGTCTCTGCAGGTGCCCAGGTTTTCCTTCCCCTCTAAATCTTTCCCGCCAAGCCCTGCCCTTTTCAAAACGTTCTTTTCCCCGGAGGACCCTGTTGCCGCTGGTCTTGGCAGCTGACGGGGGAAAGTGAACTTGACCCCTGTTCTTTCTGAAAGCCGGATCCCACTACATGATAAAGCAACCGTATGTGTGCCCTACTCAGGTCTCCTGCCAGGTGTGTGGTCTGTCTTCTAAACGTGCCTACAGCTTTCTGGGGCCACGGAAAAGTCCCCACCATGACACCACATAGAACGATAGTAGGAGCCTGCTGCACAGAAAGGCACAGGGAAGTTGGCTTTAAAAAAGAAAAAGCAATCTCACCGTGGTTTTATTTATTGAATACCCAGTGAAATTCCAGGTTGTTTGGTTTACCTGCTTTTCTCTTCCGCTGTCTTCACGCTGCACTGTTCCTGATCTCTGGTCACGGAGGTGACACGCTGCGCCCTGACCTCCACCTCATTTCCGAGCGCATATTGTTCCTCTCTGGCCCACACGGTGAAAAGTCTCACGAAAACCCCACACCGATGCCTTTAATCACAACTTCATTTCTTCCCTTTTTACGACTTTAATTGTGTGCTACGTAACTCTAATAGCCAAGTGCCACTTTAACCATATTTTCCCCTTCATTGGCATTCATTTTAGCTTTGTACTCTTACTAGATTTTCTGTATTCCTTTGGAGACCTTGGCGTGCTTCCGCTCATCTCCCGCTTTTGCTGAAGGAACGCTGCCCTTGACTCAGGAAGCCATTGTTCTCTCCTTTCCGCATACCTTGCACCAGGTGGCAGGCCGGGCAGCATCAGACATGACCCCCCGCCCCCCAAAATGCGTCTGGGGCTCAGGGAGCTGGCCCACAACCCAGGCATGTGCCCTGACTGGGAACTGAACCAGGGACCCTTTGGTTTGCAGCGTGTGCTCACTCCACTGAGCCCCACCAGCCAGGGCTTGTTTCCTTATTGTAGGTTTTGTGCAGGGCAAATCAACTCATGATTTCTCTTTATTTATTCTTTAAAGACAAAATGTTTTTTAAAAAACCTGTTTCCCCGGGCTCCCTCAAAACACCCCCAGGAACCTGCCCACAGAATGGCCCAAAACAAAGCTCTTCAGGCAGCAGCGGAGGCCCCCAGCCCCCCAAGTCTGTGAAGCCGCAGAGGCGTGCAGAGCCTGCCACACCGGGGGCACTGGGCGTGTTATTGTTCTCGGGCAAAGTTCTTGGCCAAGGGCGAGGTGCACTGAAGCCGGCCAGGCCCAGCTGCCGGCATGCACCTCCCCGGGCCAGCATTGCCTGTGAGAGCTGAGAGGGACCCCGGTTGCTTACCGGTAAGTCATGAGGAGCTGCTAATGCAGGTAGACAGAGTCATAAATATTTTAGCATTTTGGCATGTTTTTCATCCACAGTGACATAACACTGCAGTGGCAAAGAATCTCCCCCTGGGATGGGTAATTAGGAAGAGGTGGGACTATTAGAATATGCAGGACAATAAGGTCTGTGGGCTAAGTGCCTTCGATGGCTCATCTACAGGAGCTGATACAAAGCACTCGCTACGATTAGGCACATTTTAAAAACCTACACTGCCTAAGTATTTTTCATGGTGAAACAGTTGTAAAATATAACTGCTTCGCCAGCAATATTAAAACAAAAAGTGAGTTCTCCCCAATGAGCCGGAATGGATGAGAAAAAGCCAAACAAAAACGCCGTGGCCGCATGTGATTAGCTGCAATTAATACAATGATGCTCCATATGGTGACAGTCTCCCCATTGAATTTTCATCCCTTCTGTACATCAGCAGTTTTTATCAAGAGTTTGATCATTATCACTAGTCTATGTAGGGAGGTGTCACTGAGATTGGACTGTGTATAACGTTCGTAAGCGATCCTTGTTCCAGCCTTCCACAGGCGGGAGAGGAAGGGTTACACAGCCTGAAACAAATGCTGCGAAGAGCTCACAGCTCGGCCCTCACGCACACAGGGAGCCGCCCCCTCCAGCCATTGTCCAGGATACTTAATCCTTGCTCCCCTCCCCTACGCCCTCCCTTACTGCCCCTCCCAAGCTCCCAGGACCCCCGGGAAATGAATTCAGGCCCAGGTAGCTGGGGCCAGTCTGGGGACCGAGGGTCACAAGTCTGAATGCCACTCCCCTGCTCACACAGGGGCCCGAGCTACTTCACGCCGCTTCAGGGAGATGAGGTCCCACGGACAAGTGCTTCTGAAATAGCGGCTCGTTTCAACTCTGCAGAAAACAGGACACAGGCTGCATCGTGCGCCCTGACCAGAACGTCTCCACATCAAGAGGCTGTGCGCCATGCTTGTTGCCCTCCTAGTTTCATTTTATTCTATTTTTAAGAGGATTCTTAAAAAGATTTTATTTCTTTATTGTACAGAGATGGGGAAGGGAGGGAGAAAGAGAGAAAGAGAAACATCAATGTGTGGTTGCCTCTCCAGCGCCTTCTACTGGGGACCTGGCCCGCAACCCAGACATGTGCCCCCAGCTGGGAATGGAACCAGCCACCCTTTGGTTCTCAGGCATGAACTCAGTCCACTGAGCCACACCAGCCACGGCTGCCCTTCTAATTTTAAATAAGGTTCTGAAACGTGGCCCTATTTTCAGTGGAGTGGGAGGGCCCTGAGCAGGAACCACAGGATAAAAAGAGGTTTGCTGGTTTACTCGAACTACAAACACGGAATTCCTTCTTTTGCACGTTGCTTTATTTGCTCAGTGAACGTGTTCCTCTCTGTACTTAATCCCAAACTCACTCAGAGGTTATACCTTTTCTGAAGTACATGGAATCGAATACCATCTGTCCTTGGGCCCCTCTATTTTTATTCACCCTCTTTGGGTGGGAAGAGACCTAATTTATCTAAAGCTGGGCTTCCATCCTTTATCCTGCTACCGTTTGGTTTTATTTGTGGGTTCATTTCACGCTAATCCTCTAAAAAGGAAAGGGGCGTGTGTTTCTGCTGTGGTTGGGGATCCTTTACAAGCTGTGGTTGAATGGAAGATTTCTTACACCTGTGAGTGTGAGGCCCCCCGTCGCTACCCAAACAATGGGACTAATAAACCCAAACCCGAAAACGCGCTGGCTCAGCCACGGGACAGGTTGGGGAAGAGAAGGGATGATGCCTGTTTACAGCCAACACCGGACTTACAGCTGCTCCAGTTGCGCCAATCGCTGTGTTTAAACACTAGGTGGCGCTATGAACTCGCTTAACTTGGAACCCAAGACGCCCGTCCAGAATTTCAAACAGAAAAAAAGATGAGCATTTTCCTTAACGGATTTGATAGCCTGACACATATTCTTAAGGAAATGCATTTATGTGATGTAACTGTTATTTCATTAAGTTTCCATGGAGAAAAAGAACATTCTTTTTTGGCAAGAAAAACGTGACTGTTTCCACAAACACAAACCAGCCCAATCACCAGTCAAAGTCTAGGCAAAAAAAAAAGTTAGACACGGTGGTCGGCTAACTTGTCTGTTTTCCGACTGACGAATATTTTCCTGACGATTTGACACAATCCAGTCCGTCTATTCTGTGTGTAGTGATAACAGGCTGCAAATTTTCTGTTACAAAGTGGACTGTGTGGGTGAGATTCCCCTCCTGCTGGCTTTGTAGTCTGGCTGGTGGGCTCGGTTCATTAGGGCATCTGCTAACGAGGCCAAGGTCACGCGGATTCTGCTCTGGCCCAGGGGTGCGTTCTGCTCACAGAGCCAAAGGCCGTTCCTTGTCTAAACCACGACCTTAACTCTGACCAGCCCTCTCAGAGCTGCCCGGTCTTAAAAGATCCCCGCACACAGAGAAACCCACATCATCACGAGCAGAAGATAAAAACAACTCAGAGCATCTATCCTATTGACGGCAGGTCAACCACCATGTTATTCTTCTCTAAAAAGAAGGCCTCTAACATCAGCTCTGTTAACTAGCGAAGTATCATTCCTTGTCTGTTTATTCCAGTGTATTGTTCAGAACCGCAGCTGCGCCGGGCAGGGAGTCAGACACCAAGAAATAGAGAGGACTTGGCGATCTCGTTAGAAAGACACACAGGACAATGAATATTAGCTAAGACAGCAAATGCCATCACAGGTGCCGACACAAACTGCTGAGGAAGCAAAAAGAAAGCCCACCTTCCGGGGAATCGCTGCGGCTGGGTCTCCCAGGACTGACTGGCCTTCAGCTGCGGACGGCGGACCAGGGCAGCCCAGGGTCCCTGGGGAAGGATGTGCGTGGAGACCGAGCGGTGTCTGGGACAGAGGCGTGTTTGGGCCCACAGAAGCATTCCCTGGGCCTGGGATCTGGGGGTCTACATTTAATCGGACAAGTTGTGTGCATTCTAAAAAATGTGTGTATAGAGTAAATACCCATGCGTGTTCATTAATATGAATAAACAATTGAATAAATACGTAAACAGGGCAATGAAACCAACCTCCTGTCTAGAAAAATCCCAAGTCATCTAGGCAGGTATTTCCTGCCCCAAGGAGGGGGAAGGGGGACACCACCCCTTCCTCCTGTGTGTCTCCAGCACGGTGACTTCCTTCTGAACAGCACAGGAAAGAGGAGAAAGCAGAGTCACTTCACTGGGGGGAACCTGGCCAACACACCTGAGTCCCATGGTCAAGGTCAATGTTAACAGGGCTTGATGCTGAAGGTGCTTGGTCGCCGTGGCCTTCCTCGCCGAACCCTCCAACCTAACTCTGACCTCAGACAAATCCCACTTGAGAGACAATGTGCAAAGTATCTGACCAGTACTCCTCAAAATCGTCACAGTTCTCAAACCAAGGAAATGGTCACTGCAAGAAAAGCATAAGACGTTACAGCTAAGTGGTATCACTGAAGGGAGATGTTCATAAAGCACGGACTCGACTTAGTAGCGTAATAGTGTTGGTTTGTTAGCAGCGGGGAGTGTATCCGAGTATTATATGAGCTGACAACGGGGGACATTGGGTGCAAGATGTATGAGAACTTCATACAATCTTTGCCATTTTCCTGTGAAATAGAGCTACGCTCAAAGAACATGCTTTAGAATCTGAATCATAAACGATCATTTTGAATAAAACGAATGTGCTTTTTTTTACAAAAACTCTTTGTAAATGTGGTAACATTCTCTACCTCAATTATCTTCTAAAAAGGAAGGAAAGAAAGAAGGGAGGGAGGGAGGGACAGAGACGTGAAGACTGTGACGCAAAATAAAAGGCGTCGGTCAGACACGTGTACGTGTTGGTATGGGGGTGTCCCCGGAGGGGTGCTCCCCAGAGGCCGGCAAAGCCTTGAAGAGCAAACTGCACTTGAACTGGACTTGGAGGGACATACAAGCCTCCCAGGAAGCCTGGGACCAGAGAGAACCGCCGTCACCCACGGGACCCCACAGAAGTAAGGGACACATTCTGGAATCACCAGAGTTCGGCGTGGCTGGACTTCGGGATGTATACCTGGCCCAACACTCTCACACACGTATGGACATGTATGTACGTGTGTGTGTAGTTTATGCACTTAGAATTTTCCACTTTAGGAACTGTATATATTTCCATACAGAAATGTGAGATGGCCAAACATCCCATTTTATTTATCAAATACTGTATAAAAAACTACTTATTGAAAAGAAACATCCCCTTTTCTAATTTCCACTAAAGCAAACATTTTTACTTATCAGCCAAAGCCTTAGTCGGGACCACTCACTCGAAGTCCTCACCGCTAATCCCTTCATCCTTCCTTATTTCCAAGGTGTTTTAGGTGTCACTGTGTGTGAGCGAGCAATTTTTACGTTCAGAGTCACTTTACACTGTTTGTAGAACACACGTGTGAGATTCTTCTGAGTCCGTCACAAGCCCACTGATATTAAGGAACAGTTATCAGAATGAAACTAGAAGTGGTCTCTTCATTCCTAGCAAAGGTTCGACACAGGAACAAAAATAACTCTGCAGGTGAAAGTCGCAGTTTTGTGGCCACGCAGACCTGGGATTTTAGTTTTAAAGGCTAAGTCGTTTCCTTACACAGAGAGCTCAAGCACCTCATCTCGCGTGTGCTCCTTCCCTAACTAATCCAGAACGTGCGTGAAACACACCAGTTTCCGTGACACACTGTGTGGCTGTGAGTTCACAAATGTATTTCCATGAAACCCAGCAGGAGCCCCGTATAAAAGCGTCAAATCACCAGTTAAAAAGACTCACCCGACTTCCTGTCCTGGGACGGCCCGTGGAAGGCGCTGCAGGGAATGAAATGGGGGGCAGAGCCTGGCGACTCCGGCAACACCGGCTGCAGAGGCGAACTCAGCTCGGGCCGTGGAAACTTAAATGAAGGCACAGAAGTAAGGTAATAACTGTGACGGCTACTCGTGGTCTGTAACAAAGCAACACGTGGCTGACTGCCAAGGGCCCTGCACAGCCGTGACGCGTTACAATTTCCCAGAACGACCTTGGAAGCTGTCTCCTTAATTTCCAGAAAACAAAGCCACTGGGACTTGTCACCATCGATTAAACCTTTGTCCCCACCCTGTGGAAGACATTCCATCTACTTACGGTGTCTCGTTCCTCCTCTCCATAGAGATTTCTATGCACCATGACAGTGAAGTCCCCGATGTCCTTCGAAACACACGTCTCTGCCAAGTTGCTCACCTTTGCTGACCACACAACTGAGTCCACCATTTGGGCTGAGTCGACAGCTTCTGCATTTATTCAGATGGTTGGATTACTTGCAAGTGTCAGTCTACCTGCGGAGACCCAGGTGAGGTGCTCTGAACTCCCCGGCCCCCGGGGGCCCACTGATGGCCACACCTCTGCACACGCTGAGCCCTGCTGGCTGCCTGGCCCCCGCCTGAGGGGTTGGGAGGCCCAGGGGACTTCTGGTTTCTGTGTCACATGCCGCCGCTGCTGGAGGTCATTCCCACACCCTTCTGCCTCCTGTGAACCAACCTTGGCGTCCATGCTCATAATGATACCCCAGTTCATTTTCACATCTAGATTAACTTTGTACCAAAAGAAAAAGATTGTAGTAACACTGTGATTTGAAAATGAAGAATCTTGAAGAAATCTTAGAGCGATAATGGCATTCAGGAGAAATTTCATCAGTCGTAGAGTAGTAGACATTTAATCCACGCATAGAATTTCTTTTTCCTCTGAACAGCATCATCTGTATTATCTGTGCTGCTCTGGTTCGCATTCAGAGTTTTAAAATATCACACGGCGTAGCCTAAATATACACACTTTTAAAAAGTAAATAATAAAAACTGTCAGTTCTATTTCTACATATTTCTGTGTATTTTTTATTCATAGGTAAGCAAAGGTACCAAGCGTATAAAGCGGAACCGAATACTAAATACACTCTTCATAATATTGCTGTCGTGGCACCAAAGTCACAAACAATACTTTGTCACCGGGGCAGCTGTGAGGGCAGATTTCTAAGTCCCCGAGTGAGTGATGTCCAATTGGATAGGAATGTCAGAGGAATGGTCACTCTCGGTGTCCTCAAATATTTTACAAGACAGTTTATCTTCTGTTCGTAAACCAAAAAGAAGACAAATGTCCTTGGGTCTATGAGGCAATACTCGTCTCCTACAGGAAAGAATGTCATCAACTGAACCGCCCGGCCCTCCCCACCCCACTGACCTGAGGGTGTGTCTGGGCCTGGTTTGTGGTGCGGTGTGATCAGGGAGAATATTCCTACGGACCCACAGGGAAGGCTATTTGTTTTTTGTTTTTAGATAAGTAACAAGGTCAGAATCGAGCTGGCCGGGCCTTGGTGCACTTGGTCATGGGTGTGCCGTACGGGGAGCAAGTGTTAGCAGCTCACTTAAGGCTGCAGCTCGTTGAGCTGGGTGTGGCAGGCCCAGAGGGCGCAGCGCCCCTCCCCCCTCCCTGCCACCTCGTCCCCTCACTTCCTAGGACCTGGCACATCATGCGCTGATCCCCTGCAAGGGCAGGCCTTCCACCGGCGGGTCAGGAAGGCTGTGGTGTGGCTCCGTTCTGCCTGCTCCCGGGGAGACTCAGAAAGTCCTCAGACTTGCGAGCATCCATTTAACTACATGGAGTGGAAGCAGTCTCTGCTGGTCCCGTCCAGAGGCGCCCCAGTGACACTGAACTTGGACGAAGTAGGCCACCAGTTAATGAAATAATGATACGGTGTCTTACCTCGAGTGTTTCCAGTTGTTCATTTTTCTCTTTTTTAGTAGATATTTTTGGGTTTTCATTTTTGTTGTATTTGGGGACTCCCCGTGGACCATATTCAAGCTTGAAGGGCAGCTGCTGTGCCCCGGACAGAATTGTTGGCTTCAGCTGCCAGGGAACATGGAAGGGGACAAAAAAGCACCCCCACCTCAGGACGATACTCGAGGACAAGACGGGCTCCCGGGATGGTGACGGGTGAGAATAGATGCAGGCCCAGGCAATTGCAACACACACACACACACACGTGTCCGGGGCCTTTCGCCATTTGACATCATTCAGTGCTTCAAATAATCGTGTCCTGGATAGACACTGAAGATTTTACATTCTGTTATACAGCAAATGCAACATTTCAAATAATTGGGTACAGTACCTTTTTAATTTCACAAGATTTTTCTTTGGCGGAGCTCAATTAATTTCATACCTACTGTCCTGACGTCCTTCACCACTTTTCTGTGCAAACACCCCAGAGTTTTCCCTAAAGTGAAAAAAGAGTGTTAGAATCCAGTAGACACATAAATCTGGGTTTGGAAGACCAAGTGCATTTTTCCAGAAGCTTCTGTCTGAAGCTTTTGAATAAGAAAGATTTCAAGAGGAGCCATAAATATTAAATATATTCACCCACTTGTTTGGGAAGCATGCCGTATAGCATACTGACCTATTTTGTCATAAAAATAGGTTCCAGTGACTCAGTTTTTCATTAAAAAATGGGATGCGGTTATTTATTGTGTTAATAAATCGATTGACACTTCACGTCAAGGGCAAGAGCTTTGAAATAAGACCGACCCGGGTGTGTGCCTTGGCCCTGTCGATCCTCAATTGCACCATTTGGAGCAATTACAAAACTGAACAGCTCCCGGATGCTCTAGATCACAGTTTCCTCTTTAAATCAGTACCGGTAGCTACTTCATAGGGTTGCTCCCAACATTCAGGGAGCTAATCCATGAAAGGAAGCACCACCTTTTTGGACTTTGGTAAGTGCTCGGTGGCAGGTCCTCAGGAGCCCTGTGCCAACCCCTCAGGACGGTTCTTTCTGGCAATGATTCTGCTTGGGGTCCTTCGATGACAGATGACAACGCTCAGCTTCAGTTTCTGCGGTTTTGTGTCGAATGACCACGCCCACCATGCTTATCCTCTATGCCTTTGTGGCCACTATCTCAGGAGTCCAGCATCGACAGCCAGTGAGCACGTTCTCAGCATTACCCGAGATGCTTGACGTTTGCCTGGAGCCATTCGGTTCCCTATGGTCGAGCCTTCCACACCTAAAACTCCCCACGCAGTTCCTGGAAAAGCAGTCAGCAACAAATGAAGAAATCAAGGGAGTCGTTATTGGGTGGGCCGGTACTTACAACCAGTTACGGCCGTCACTGTCTTTTTCTGAATTAACAGAGCTGTTTCTGGCCCGAACTGGTTCCTAGGTAGGCCTGGCCGAGTCGCCAAAGGGGTGGGTAGGTGACCTCTGCCACTGAGTGTCCCCATTGAGAGATCCAAACAGAACACAGCACAGCAGGCCGTGGAACAGGTCCCCTGGCATCCACAACTCTCAGCTTCAAGGCTGTAATTCTGAGGAACCCCTACAGTTACTGACTGGAAGCAATCTGTGGTTGTTCAGAGGCACGCACTTGACCCCTCTTAAAAACAGGGAAGAGCAGAGCAACCCTTCACCGGAGTTACGAATAGGAAAGTGGTGAGCTGAGTCATGCAACGTGGACCTACGTAAAGGATGGGGTGACTCAGCGGCCACACATCTGGAACACAGCACAGCTTGGGGCTCTGCAGGGTTCAGCTCATCCCACACAGTGGAGGTCTCAACACACGAGTCACCGAGAAGAGTGCGTGAACACGGAAAAGTGATATTTATTCACATGCACTTCAACTCTAAAAATCTCTTCCCTTTTCCGCTCCTTGCCCCAAAAACATTTCTGGAAAAGATTTGAGAAGGCTTGAAGAGACAGGTTAAAAGAAAATACATGTGAAGAAAGTTTCAAGCAAAGTGTTAGAAAATGAGCCCAGTAAAACTTCAGCGTTTAAGTTTTAAGGGCCACAGAAAGGACAGTCACGAAGATCCAGGATAAGCCTGAGTTGTAGCTGTGCAAACCCCTGTCGAAGCTCCAGGAGCAAGCCGGTCCCGATGAGGACAATTGTCACAAGTAAAGTCAGCAAAGGCCCTTCGCCAGTTTCCCCACAGACTTAACATCCCGGCATTTGGGGTTGCTAATCAACATTATAGGTGTTATTGCTCATGTTTAACAAAAGGGTTAAACCCTACCCACTTTGTCTAACAAAAACAATGAAAGCCATGATCAGAAGGAGAGAAAAAGCCTTTATACACACCCATTCTCTCTCTCTCTCTCTCGGTAAACAGGATGCTGTAAAATCAGAGAATGTTTAATAATAATTGTCTTTCAGGCTCACAGGCATGGTCAATTTCTTCTTACCAGAAATCAGTTTTTATGTTCACACAATTCTCTTTAGAGCAGAAGAGAAAGAGTTAATGGCACAGGGAAGGGTTGGTCCCCTTGCCTCATTCCATTCCCATTAACAAGGCAGATTTCATAAGATGTGACTTCACTTCCCAGGTGGGACAAGGTGTGGTACATAGCCCATTTGACATGCTTTTACTATTGCTTTTTTTTGTACTTCCTGAAACCTATCCAAATGATCCTAGGAGAACATTTCACAACATCTAACTTACTTCTTGCCTGACTGTTTGCTGCTTCTTGAATGGTACAGTGATATATACATAAGTCTTGTTGTCACAGGGTGCAGCCAACAGCGGGCCCCCAAAAAGGGATTGGGAATGGGGTCCAGAACTCAAGGTGTCCAGAAAATATTAGAAAGATATATAAGATGTCCCCACTCCTTCATCCGCACAGGTGTGAGTCAGGGGAAGGGACACCTGGAGCAGGGCCATTGAGAGCTGTTTTGCATAGAAACAGCTTTGCAGCTAACCTCTGGCATGGTCATTTAGCATATCTATAATCTTTAAGGATTGCATAGATATGTTTAATAGCTGTGGCCATGCTTGAAGCCAGGGGGATGGAAGTGACTTTCACCCAAGATGTAACTGGAAGGCAACTTCCCCTGGTTACAGCGCCTGCGTGGGAGTTTGGAGATGATTAGCTCCATGCCAGGGGGTCACACCTGCCCAGACTTACCATGGCAGGCCAGAAAAGCTGAAAAATACGGGAATGCTGACAAGTGTAGCCAATTGTAGGAGGAGTCAGAAATGGGGGCATAGAGGAAACTTAGTGCTAAGATTTAAACCCAGACTCAGCAGCCATGTAAAGGGAGAATCACATAGTCTCGGCAGAGTGGAGACACCCCTTGCAGCTTTGCCAAGGAGACCCCCGCAGCTTTGCAGAGGAGAACCAACATGGCTTGATCCTGGTCGATGACACAGCTGATGGTGTCGGGAGCCTGAATCAACTCCTTTTCCTGAGATATGGCGCCCCGGATAAGGGCCGAGGGTGTGTGTGTGTGTGTGTGTGTGTGTGTGTGTGTGTGTGTGTGGGTATCCTAAAGGATTTTGATATTTTAATGAAGACACGGGGTCACTACTCTAAGTCTTTATAGCTTTAAATAAACATTTCCTTTCCTTTTCACAAATCTCTGGCATTGAGAGACGTCTTTCCTCTGGTGGTGGACAAGCAAACCTAGGGGGGGTACTTTTGGTAATAGTGTATTGTATTTGCCCTGGCCCTGTCCTGCAACATTATCAGTAATTATGACTGAGTTTTTGGTTATTTTTCTAGTTCATTACAGAAATCATGTTTTCCTTTAAGTTCCATCATTGTTTTTTGAGACAGCGAAAGATTCACTAAGGGTCTACAAACCAAGCCACCAACCATCTTTTATTCTCATGTAAGAATGTGTAGTGAGAAAATTCCATGCCAAAAGCACTGTGCTACTGTGTCCCCGAGACTGGTCCTACCTCAGTCATCTGCTAAATACCACTGGTGCATGCTCAGGATGAAACTCTGGGGGCGCTCCGTCTCACATGCAGGTCCCCAAATCTGCTCAGCACGGCCCCCAGCACTCACACAGAAGCCGATGGCTTCACCCCGCCCCCAGCTGGGACTCCCGTCCCTTGTCTGGAGCTCCCGGAACACTCTCCCCACGGCCCCCTTCCTCCACCGCTGCCCTGCCTTGTGCTGTCCTCTCAGCGCCCGTGGGAGAGCATGGCTAGTGTCCTGGCCCACTCCTGCCGCAAACCTTGCACCTGTTCCCTCCACCTGTGCTTGCCCCAAGGGGGCAGCCCAAAAGGCAGGCCTCGTGCCCTTCTCGGGGTCTCAGCTTAAAGGCCGCCACCTCAGGAGGCCTTCCCTGACCACCCCAGGCCAAGGGCAGGGGCATAAGCCAGAGGCGTTGTGACTTACAGACGCTGCTGCCCACCCTCTGGGTCACACCTGGGGACCCTGAAGAGAGGTGGCTTTGAGGGTGGGGCTCGCATGGTGGGGAATGGAGGAGGCCACAGCCACGGTCACATTGGAGCTCGGAAGGGTGGGGGCAGCGCAGCTTCGGAGGAAACCTGCATTCAAATCCTGGCTCTTTTACTCAATTTCGCAACTCTGAGAACGAACACGGCCTAACACTCTGAAAATAGGTTTCCTCCCCTACAGGGTGTGTATAAAATATCACGCTTTGTAAGAACGTGTGGTAAGAGGTACACCGATGTGCACACCTGGACTGCACCGGCCTTGTCGGGGGAGTTCCACCGGTTCTTTCGTTCCCACGTGCAGGGGCTCTCTGCGCCCCCTCAGTGCGGTGTGAGGGCCTCTCGGAAGGAAGGGCGCATGGCCCGTCCCACAGGGCGACGTGCTGGAGAGCAGTGTTCCCTGTGACCCATACACGCTCCTCCGAGTCACCACCCCCAGCACGGCGTGCAGACTGAGTCACACCCAACAGGAACAGAAAAGCAGGGGGTGTGCATGTGCCTTACGGGGCCGTCCAGCATTTAAAATCTCTGTACAGAAGTAGAAATACTCAGTTCCTATAAGAAGGTGCCCATTCATTTATTCGTTCCACAAACATGTGTGCAGGGACCGGTCACGGATGCACAGGCTGTAGATCCTGTGTCATAACGAAGGTCAGGACAAGCGCCTCTGACCTCTGGCCTCTGAGGGTCATCTTAGAATGAGCCCGCCTTGGAGTCCAGTGACGATGGCCCTGTTGCTGTGTGCCCGGCCTTCGCTCCCCAGGCCCGGCCCGCAGTCAGGGGAACTGGCTGGTCTTCCCAGCGCTGCCGTCCCTCACCGTGCGCTCCGGGGCTGGCGACCAATGTCTGAGCCTCCCAGCCCGCCCGTGGCCCTTTGCCCAGGCCCCCTGCAGCTCCGCCACACACAGCATCGCCTTCAGTGTGGAAAAAGCCTGCGGTTAGAAAACTTGCAGTTACGAACTCCTTCAGTCCGTGATATTGATTTTACTGTCCTGTTATCTTTATTTGTTTGTTTATCACCTTATGTACTTACAACCACTTATGGGCCACATTCATACTTGAAATTAAGCCACAGAGAAGAGGAAGCCTGCTTGAGACACAAATCTCCCCGTTTTTATCTTTCACTAGAAATGACAGTCTAAGGTTTTACCCACTGAGTCTTCCGCCCTCTGTTCAATTGTCTAAATGCCAGCGTCTTGTCTGTGTCTGGGGAACATCGCAACGCCCAGAGCTTTCTTATTCTCCCAGACGTAGCCACGCAGCATTCCTGCAAGGTCAGCTGTCTGGGTTCCAACAGCACCTCCCTGGGAATAAAGGGCTCATCCCCACCCCCCACCCCCGACACACACCTGCCGTCACCGCGCCAGCCACGCGCACTGACCTCCGAGACCAGGGATGGTCACAGAGCTCAAACGCACCCGCCGCTCAGAGGCCATCGCCCTGCGCGTGCCAGGCTCGTTCTCTCCTGGTTGCAGAAAAAAATGATTCTTTGGTGTGAACACGGTCTCCAGGTTACCTCCGGAGAATGCCGGGAGGGCTCGGAGCACAGGACGGCAGATGGGGTGGCCCCCCGCTGCCCTTGTTCGCTCCCTTTGTCAGGCGGCCCCCGGGCTCCCACGCAGGACGGGAGGGCCGCGTGCTTTGCAGCCTCTCCAGCTCGGACGAGGTGCCTCGTTAGCATTCCTCGGGGCTGGCCCCCCGAGTGCCACGTAACCATGGAGAGCCACGCGCCTGCAGGGGGTCTGACCGCACGCGTCCAGCGTGGCTGCCGCATTACAAATGAGAAAGGCACCGAGGAAAAAGCCTCGCATTCAGGCTGTCTGCGGTGAGCCAGGGTTGCCGAGC